AATCAATTATCCTTCTTTTTCCTTGTTGCGTAAAGCGCATCCACATTTCTCTTCTATCACACTTTATCTTGCAGCTCGGTCAGACGTCAAAAGCTTTTGAGCATCTTGGCAATGCATTAACGTATGATCCAAGCAATGTAAAGGTGAGATTTTGGCACTCTCTTCCTTCCTTATGTACCATGTACGTGGAATTAATTTTTTTCTATTGGCACAATCCTTTAAATTAAATATACCACAAGAATCAGTGATAGCAAAATGTTATATGTGTGCGTTTTAATGGAGAAGGTAACATAGTAAGTTAGTATTATTAACGAGTTGATAACGTAAGTCGGCCACCGTAGAGTTTCAAAGCTGACGTTTCGAGCGTTAGCCCTTCGTTAGAGCAAATTTCGCCCTTTCGTACTTTGTCCTTCGCTCCAATGAAAGGCTAATGCTCGAAAAGTCATCTTTGAAACTCTTTACGGTGGTTTATATACGTTATCGACTCGCTGGTTATACTTAATTACCCTGTTACACTCTCCCACCGACGCAGCATATAGTTTCTTTAGAAACTAACCCCTTTATTCATTTGTAATGGAGAAGTTTTAACTCATATGGTTTCTAATGCACACTTCTCCTGTAATTATTTAACTGTGCTTTCGTGTTTTATTGCCAGGCTATCTTGGCAGCTGGTTCTATGATTCAGTCACACGGTGACTATGATGTGGCACTGACCAAATACAGAATAGCAGCCGCAGCTACGCCTGAATCACCTCACTTGTGGAACAACATCGGCATGTGCTTCTTTGGAAAAAAGAAATATGTCGCAGTAAGTTGATTAACAAGCAAATTTTATAGTTTAGGCGTCTAATCGACCAGAATTGGGTTTGAAGATTTTCAAAGCGTATTAAATATTTGTAAGAGTTTCCTGAACATATGATATATTCGTTTTTGTTTTGTTTTGTCTTTTTGGTTACGTTGATGGGAGCAAATTTTCAATATTGAGTACCCGAAGTAACATGGGTTTGCTTTGTTTTTTTTGTTTTGCTCTGTGATTGGTCCTGAAAAGGCGAGCTTTCTTTCCAATCAATAAGATTTAAGTCTAAAACCGATGGCGACCTGGTTGATCGCGTTTTTCAGCGCTACAGGAAGTCTGCTTGTTTGCTCTCTGAATTCCAACTAGTTCATTGCGATAATTTCCCTTCTTCTGGCTGGTTGTTGTAAACAATTTGGTATTAGTTTTACGAAAGTCAATCGAAATGCGCTCAGTGTCATTCAATAGTAAGTAATAGGTTTGGAGAATTTCAGTTGAGCGATCATACTTCACTGTGCTACGCAAATGGTCGCACACACTTGCCACACTCTTACCCAATCAGATGCAAGGCTAGTACCAGTCACAACTTGGTTGCTTGTCTTTTTCCCGCCCTTTTACCCCCAATTCCCCCGGTTCCCTTGATGTTGACAGGTGTTCAAATTAAGTGCGGTGATTAATTGGTTTAGCTTGCGATATTCAATCGAAAAGCTCTCAAAGATGCGAAGAAATATTTAAAACTGCTACTTCCAGGCCTCTTACTCATTTTGGTTTCCTCAGGCCATCAGCTGTCTCAAAAGAGCTACATACATGGCACCGTTTGATTGGAAAATCCTTTATAACTTGGGAATCATTCACCTTACAATGCAACAGTATCCTTTACACTTCACTGACAAGATCGCTAAACAAGGAAGTATTCGTTTACTCTCCTAAAGGGTTTGTTTAAATCATTGTGATCGACAGTTCTTTGCAGGTCCGATTTATTTCATTTAATTCTTTCATTTTAACTCTTTCACTCTCAAAATCTTATAATTAATTCTCCTTACTGTCTGCCATACAATTTTTATGATGTTAGTTTAGAGAATGTGGTATGGGATGTTCTAATAATACCGTAATTGGCATTTTTCTTTATTAACATCATTTGTTTGCTTTAGATTGTATGGATATTGTGAGGAGAAATTCTGTCTTGGTCACTCATGGGAGTACGCGGTAACTTTTCGCAGTTGCCGCGGGCTGGAATTTTGCGCGCGAATTCTTTTGCGTCGACGAAGTAATCACTAACGCAAGCGTACTAGAGTTATTTCCTTAATGTCTATCAGATACGCGTCTGCCTTTCACTTCCTTAGTGCAGCAATTACCCTCAAACCGAAGCACGGTCACCTCTTTATGTTACTTGCAAGTGAGTGTCACTGTTCTTATCACACGTGAGTTTCATAAAACTTTCTGTTCTATTTGTTTGATATGTTTATCAATGTTGTCTGTCATATGTATCTTATTTCAGTTGCCCTGACACACCTGGAGGATCACGAGAATGCTAGACATGCATACGAACAGGCAGCAAACTTAGACAAGTGAGAATATCAATAGAATTATACTCAAACTTTACAAAAAAAATCAAAAACAAGCGTGTTTCCTCCATTCGGCCCAGGTTACTGATCGAAATTAGAGGAAAAGGTTAAGTCTCTACTGGAGCCAAGGAGCCCACTCAGCCGTAGATTATCCCGGTTTCTTTAACATGAATTGACAAGGAGTATCACTACCCCCCTCTGGATAGGATGACGAAAAAATTCGTAAACAGCTAGCTCGAGTAACAAGGAACTAATTCTACTAGTTGGTACAGCGGGATTCACTCGCGTATACGTTTATCGATGAGAATGATAATTGGTTTTTTTAATTTTGGTGACACTTGATGATAATCCTTTGACTGTTGAATTTTTTTATTTTTATTTCAGCTCCGATCCTTCTATAAACTTGAACTTCTCGATTTTCCTGTATAATACAGGCGAGAAGAAAGACGCTGCGAAACAGTTTAACATTTACGAGAGAAAAATGGAATCCTACCGATTAGTCAAAGGTGTCGAGATTGACGCAGAGGTGAATTTGCCATCTCATATCGTTTAACCCGTTTGTATTCTCCATACTGTTCTCTATACATTTCCCAAGGTACTGCCAAGGAGAAATTGTTTAACAATCAAAAGCCACTATAAAAAGATATTATAACAGTCGCAGCACGTCCTAGCAATTCTGCCCTCTCTGTGGAAATAGACTGCTTTTTTTCGTCATAGCTTTCCTACTTTGTATTTACGTGATTTTCAATTTCTTCATGCTTGCTGTTACATTCTTTCCTTTATTGTAACCAACAGCTTGTGGACGTAGCCAATAAGCTCGGTCCAGCTTTACAAGTCGGAGAGAACCTAGTCTGGGAAGGAAGTGACGCTGGCCAGTCATCACGGGCGGGTTCCAGAGATCCCTCAGCGCCAGAGTCAGTGGCGAGCAGTAGCTCGTCTTTTCAAGAGGATGGCTCTTTTGTGTGAACTTTTTAACGATACAACATGGTGTAATGCTCGTTGCAGAGTTCCCCAATATCCCATTTTGGTGCTTACTGAACTGAAACTTTGTAGAATAAACTGTGTTAATTGCATGTGAATAATACTTTTTACAGCAGTGACTATGATCTACCGACTATGCGTTTTAGTAGATTTTGATCTTTAAGCGTGGGTATGTCGTATTTTCCCGCAATTTCTGCGTTCAAACCCTGACACCTTCAAAGATCTTTTTCAGGAAGGTACACTTGCTGCTTTTTCTGCCTTTTTCGTACCACTGCCTGCGGTCGTAATCCAGAGTAAGGCTTATGACGACACGAGATTTACACTCTGCAAGGGACTCTTTGTTCAAAATACACTTTTACGTTTGCTGAGATTGTTACAGTAGAACCGACCAACTTCAAGTAAAGTTCGCTCTGCCTGAGAACAAAATTCATCCAACTTAAAATTCAAAGATTGCAGTATGTTCATAAAAAAGGATTTTAGTTAAATTAGTCGCTCTGTGGTAAGCTTTTCTCGTTGGTTGTATCTCGCTTTACATTAATTTAAAATGTACGGCACAGCCATCGTACCAACTATTAGCTTACTAGGTATTCTTTATATATGTTATTTATCTTGTAATGATATGTTAATAATGTGATAATATAATGCCATAATTAAGATCAGTATTCTTTTGGTATTGTAGCCTTGATCGTTGACGAGTGGATCAGTACTACCAATACAGATTTGAAAAAACTTTCGAGAAAGGCGAGTCTGCCATGATATGCCATTTACAATTTATCAAAAATGCAATTTTCAACTGAGTGTCGTAAGTTATCCGAAATTACTTTGGTTTTCTTCACCCCACTCTGACATTAGTCCTTGAAACTCGCGCCACTTTCTCAACCAATCAGATTCAGAACTCAAACCATGCGTAACTCGGTAAACCGCGTTTTCCCGCGCTTTAAGGGAGTTAGCTTATTGAAAATTTGACTTCTCATTGGCTCCTTGTGGTGTTTACCGTTAATCTGATTGGCTGTTGTGATAAGTTTGGTTTAATTTCACGACACTTGATCAAAATGCGCTTTTAAGAAACGGTATCCTTGTCCAAGAGGCTTGAGTGTTGTTATCGTAACCTTGTATTTCTAAATAATGATCGCAACATGTTGAGGAGTCATTTTAAAAACATTTCTTTTCCTTGTTAATTTTTTCAAGAAAACATGCAAAACATTGTGGGAATATTGATCTATGTGCGAAGTGGTGTTTCAAAATTAGCGAAGCTGGTTCTATATCTTAGTTTAAAGTTGGCATCACTTATATATATATAACATCTGGTGATTCTGGGGTAATCTAACTTCACGCAATCGGTAGACATTCTTTGTCGCTCCTAACAATTCTAAGTCACTCTTGCTGGCTTACGCTCGAGACCCTTGCCTTTAAGTTCAAATCTATGATATAGACCTTAAATACTTTGGGAGAGATGCGAGACTCAGAGATTTAACAGAAAGGCTGTCCAGATTTTAACATTGGATCAAAAATTTAGAGTTACCCGTGATTCTTTAATGTTCCATTCGCTACTCTCAGTTTTATGAATCCAGTTATTCATGGCAATGTTGGTTCCGACTGACCTCTGCATGAACAGTCTTGAACGAAATAATCGGAAAAGATTATACATGAATTGTTCAATTTTATTTACGCTTTATAACCTTCCAGACGTAGCGGCGAATTCTTCTGCATCGCACGTAATACACCAAAGGATTTATGCTCGAGTTGAGGAAGGTCAGAGTGCTCAGAAACGGCAGAACGACTTCGAGAAGCGCCAGGTTCTTGGTGATGTACAAGCCTAAAACTGCACTTGTTGTAGGAACATAGCAGAGGAAAACAACACCAACCATAATAAGAGTGGTTCTGGTGCTTTTAACATCTTGCTTTGTCGGATTGTTGGTATCACTGACCAGCGCTCGTATGAGCATCCAGTGTCGTCTTGCAATTCTTGTCATTTTGAAATAGCAGAAAAAAGTTGTGAACACTAACAGCAAGGGAGGAATACAAGCGACCGCTCTTGAAGTTATTACAGGGGATAACGTATCAGCTTTGTGTGTGAGGAAGACGGGCACCGCGGCAAATGCTACCGAAAGCAACCAACAAGCAATTATGGCCTTCAAGGCTGTTTTGACCGTAACTAGGCTTTGATATCCTAAAGGGTGCGTGATACAAACGTATCTATCTACAGTTATCAAACAGAGATTCAGACAAGACGAATACAACAAGAAGTGAGTCACGTACATTCCGAGCGCGTTCAGAAAGTTTTGTTGCAATAAGCAGTCAGCAAAGCCGAAAAGTCGACTTGCTAGTCTTACGGCGATCAACGGCTGAGCAAAAACTCCAATTAGTAAATCACAAACTGCTTGTGATGTGAGGAGAAGATTGCTGGGTACTTCACGAAGATGGGGGAACTTGAAGATGGCCAAGATCAATAAGGTGCTGCCTCCAACAGAAATTACAGGCAAACAGCTGTCGATGACCAAGTTTAAGATCGATAGAAGATAGAATCCTTTTGAAAGCTGCGAAGACGTATAGAATTCGTCTGTGATATTGAATGGACAGTCAGCATTAGCAGAATTCATGATTAAAATCTCAGAAGCAATTGTGTTCAGTTTAAATTCAGAATGAATTGAAATGAGACGAAAAAACATGTAAGCACATTTCCTTAAACTCAGCATGCCAGCTCCTCAACTGTTTTCCAACATTCTTCGGTCTTATTCTTCTTTTGACGATCGTACCAATAGGCCATTTCCCGGGGAGTTCCAAACAACCTTACGTTAAACATCAGGCAAAGTATACATAACTATTTTGATGAAAATCAGTTTTATTTATATGATAAATAACAGATCGTCTCAATATCAAAGACTCCTTAGCTTAGCCTCACTTAAAAACATGTTTTATGTCCAACACGCCGACAGGGCCGAGTCAATTGTATTGACCACGCGTTTTGGTTATACCGTGACATGTTTGCACTGTAACAAATAGAGTATAGAAAGAGCGGATGTACAGACTTAACACGGATAATTTGGTTATTTTTTTAGCCACATGAAAATTATCAATTAAATGGAATAAAATAGAAAGTATCCTCGACGCCAATAAGAACGAGGACGATTCATAAAGGAGAAGATTGATATGTATCGCCGGCGACAATTAATCTAAAATCCTTACAATGCGCTTAGCGCGACGTATCCGTTCCCTTAAGGATGTTTTAAGGAGACAATGAAACAACTTCACAGCGTAGTCGGCAAAATAAATAACTACTTTGCTTCTCAGTATTGGATGTTATTGTCTGACCACAGACCAACGGAAACAAATGGAAGAAAAAGGGAGATAAATAACTTTTTTGATAGAAGGATACTGTTTAACTCGGTGAATATGAATATATAAAATAAATAAATAAATGGATAAATCAGCAGTGGAAAAAACTCAAATGAAAGAACAAGGGAACGAATGAACGAAGTAACGAACGGATGATTGAATGATTGATTGACAAGGCGAGAAAAAAAAACCAGATCAAATGACACAGGATAGGTAAGGAAAGACTTTTCGCGTCGTTTGGCAGCACTTAATATATAATTACACAATTATGAATTTGACACGGGCTAGAACAGCATATCACTGAGACCACGCTGTTTTCACCTTCTTCCTTGTTCCTGTTTCCTCAGTTCTTCAGGTTACTCATAGACTACAAAGAAACCGGGAAAATGAACGCAGACTGCGGAGAGCCTGGACGCTTGTGCCTTGGGTGGGGTGGGGTAAGGGTGAGGGAAGGGGGTGGAAGAGAGGTGTATGAGGGGGAATTTTTCTGCGTTACTGTATTTGCTTTCGAGAGCCACTTTTTCCGCCAGGCGTTGTGGACCAATTTTTGGATAACCTGAGATGAGGCTCTCATTGGCTTTGCTGGACGAGTATCTCGTTTCAACTTTTTTTCATGGGCTCCTGTTCACTGTCATTGACTATCATGTTTGCGTTCATAAGGTTCATGAAAGTTGTTGATGGTTTCCGAAATTAAATAACGCAATGAAATCATGCTGCTAACCGGTACATGGTATTTTGTACACCAATTGTGGCGTTAAGGTCAGCACTTATGGTGGCGTTTTAAAATTTGTGACAATAATGGCTCTGTATCAGCCGAAAAGAGTAGTTAGTGGCACATACAGTTTCACAAAATTTGATGCAGGATTAATTTTCTGAAGAGTTGCTTGATTGCCACAAACGAGAAAGGACGAAGGAGTGGATACGAAGGAGAGTTGATGAGTGTAGGAATTGCGAACGGAAGATACGGAAGCCTACAAGGAATTGATGAGAATGAATAACAAGACATTCTACGAAATTTTGACGGCAGTTTTAGCCATTTTACCTCTGAACGGGTTTTTGGCAAAACCACTGACCGAAAAACTATCATCCGCTCGTTCAAACTGCAAAAACTGTCATCAACTATTAATCAGATATTAAGTCGAATTTGAACATGCCCAAACTGCATGATGGTTGATGATAATCGATGATAGTTGATGACAGTGCTTGAACATTCGTGTTCAAACGCGCATCAACTATCATGACCGTGTGAACGGAGCTTCAAGTTTTCTCATTTGATACAACACGACGCTAAATAAAACTTTACAAAATAACCACCTAAGACTTATTTGTGTTTTAACCGTAGTTTGACAAACGGAAGATTTAATAATTTCATTTTAAACTGTCATGTTAGAGAGGGCTTTATTGTTTGATAGTTGATTTAACACTAGATTTACTGGTAGTCATGACGATTTTGTCAGTAAAGACCTCTAAAGCAAGCACGAGCTTCAAGTGCAATCAATACCCACAATATGAAGAACACGTGCATTTTTAAACAATTTCCGATTAGTTACAGACTATAGAACAGATAATCCCGAAAACAAAATGGTCTTTTGACGAACGGGCTAATGAAATTTTAAATGCCTTTATATTGTCCTACAAAGAACAATTTCAAGAAAGCGTTGCTATTGTTCGCGCCATTCTGGTCTCTAATTGACCTCAAACAGTAGCATCACCTTATTTGGAAAAACATCAATAATGAGTTGTAACAATTCGACCAATCATATCTTCCGGATACGAGCGTCCTTTTCCCAAGCGCGTTCGGTTTGTTTTGTTGTGTTACTGCAGCGCTCGATTGCCTTTTGTAAGTTTTGACATGTACACAAGGACCAAATAATCACGAAAGATCATTTGGGCTAACACTCAGCTGGGTGTCGCTTGATTCCCTCTCCAGAACTCAGCGATCGAAAGTCAGGTCTGATGAGTACCAAAACGAAAGATCTTGGAGAGAGTTTTCTGCTAGGTGGAGATCTTCTCGGGGAATTGGACGAGGACAGCGATAGCGACAGCTTGCTGGCGGACGAATTGCGAGGAATGTATCGGAACAGGTTGAAAGACATGGAGGAAATAGGGGAGAAAAGAGAAGAGGCTCACAGGGTAAGATCACTGCGATTTTAACGACATCGTCCCCGTAACGTGTAAACAATGAGATCGATATTCGATCTCTCGCGGCAAGATTTTAAAATGTTGATCGACCGAACACGTCAGTTTTAATTTATAAGCAATTTCGAGGAATAAGAAAAATCTCTTTATTTCAAAATGGGCAGCTGATTGGAATCTTAACGATACAATGGCGCTTAAACTAGCTTTTCATTCTGACTTTTTTTTTAATTTTTATCTTGCATCCGGTGAATGTTGTTAAGCCGTTAGCCATTTGCACACACACAAATGCTTTAGGCCAGCGGTTCGTTAGAACTTCATTCACGAGCGGAAACGTGCTTCTATTTTTCATTTTCTTGATCTACGATTAATCTTTTTTTTGGACCATAAGATAGTTATTCATTCCTAGAAATTCTTTAGATCTCTACAAGCTGTAAGGACTCCGAATGACTTAAAAGCGGCTGTTTTGTTTACTTAGTAAAGTGTAGCGTTTTGGTCACCGAGGCATGCATGTGAGCAGTGAGAATTTTTGACAGGAAAATTGATGGCTGCGGATGTAGGCATTACTTTGATACTTTTTTGAAAGCTTAGCTCGTAACTTTTAATCTACTTTTATGCTATTACTGTTTTATAAATGCAAAGGGTTGTCTTTTTTTTTTTTTATTTTCTATCCATGAAGTTAATTCTTTCCGACAAATCTACGAAATGCTTAGTTTGTTTACAGAGATCTAGACGTACATGTATAATTGTTTGTGGGCTTGTTCCTAATTCTTGTTAAGATGTTAAGCTACAAGGTATTATTTACTGCATGTAGATTTGTAACTTTGGCGTTACGATTTGCAAGGGTGGTCTACTGGTCTGACAACACATTTTTGCTTTAAGTGTTCAGTTTAGGAATTATAGTTCTTAAACTTAACATCGACTTTTATCAGCTGAGTTATAATCTAGTGAAACTGCTAATTAACAAATTAAAAGTAGCATCCAATTTTGGTTAAAAGCATTATCAAAAAATAATTATCCAGAAATGTTCACTTGCTAAAAAAGTAAATATTAGGACACTGTCAATTGGATTGGATATAAATTAATGTTAACAAATTTTGCAGCATCAACTCCAGTCCCTGCAGTCCTATGTGAATGAACTCAGTGATCAAAATGAGATCCTGGTACAAACTGTTGAGGAACTAGAGAGAGAAGCCAATGACAGGGTGGCACTGATGGAAAATAAACTCCAAAGAACAACATTGTCTCTCAAGGTATATGCACATGTATTTCACACAGGGAGGTTTTGAGCATGGTGCTACATGTGCCTGCATAACTTGTGTGAAAACTAGTGATCTCTTTACTGTTCTCTGGATCTGGGTTTAAACCTTCATCAGGGAGCTATTTCATCAGATATTCCAGTAACTTTATGAAGCCTAAGCTATGTCTTAAAATCTCACTAGTAAGAGATAGAAGCATAGGTCTAAGCTCATAAGCTAATATATTCTGTCTCATTGCTTGATATTTTTCCTTGTTTGAATCAGGGAGCTGTTGTTGTCTTGATCTGTAATCACAACTGAATAAAATAAGCGTTGGGGACTGGTATTGAGTACTGGGAATTTTAAGGGGCAGGCCTCAGCATCATTTTCTTTGCTCATACCTACACTGCTTTTTCTTGCCAAACAGTGTATTAAATGAATACCAGCTGATGTCTTAGCAGAACCTGAAAAAATGTAGAGAGGTAGCTCACACCAGAGTTGAACATCCCATCTGGGTGGAGAAGTTATACTCATAGATTTTTCTTGTGCAGCTTCAAAAGCCAAAGAAAACATCTCGCACTTATGCTACTCCTGTTTAGAATTTACATACCAGGGATTATAGGTGTTGAATGTGATATTTCATACAAGTCTATATTTTGATTTTTTTATTTTCAATTGAAAACATGCGTAATATTCCATACAAACCAGAAACAAGAAGTTAATGTTAAGTTTTTGTACCAATTTGATAAGGATTACACATCAAGGGCAAGTGAACTGGATGTCCAGGTCGAAAAGCTGAGCAAAGAGAAGAAAGATTATGTGGAGGAGATTAAGGTGAGCTTGCTGTGCTTGTAGCATGTAATATTTTTGTCGAAGACACTTAAAATCCA